CAGGGCCAGGCTCTGAGGAAGGGGGGTGCTCCCTTTTCTCATGGGGGGGAGGGTCCCCCTGTCCAGTGGGCTCGGCCCAACTCTGTGGTGGAAAGATCCCTCCCCTGGCCCCCCAGCTGAGGGGTCTGGGTGGTGGGTCTCCCCGGTGGGGTGTCTGTGTTTGCAGCGGGGAGGACACGGGGAGGGACGGTACCATCTAATCGTCCTTCCATGAGGGCAGGGGACTGGACTTGATCTCCCGAGGTCTCTTCTGGTTCTAATATTCTATGTCTGGGTGACGCGCATTGCAGGACCCGCTTATAAAGAGCCTTGGAACTAGCTCGCCCCTCCCTCCAGCCTGCCTGTGGATTTTGGCAGCGTGACCCACTGGGATCTCGTGGGCACCAGTGCCAGGGACCGCTCGGTGGGGCTTGTCTGACAAACTCACACAGGTGGCAAGTCCTGGGCTGTGGATCAACAGGCTGCAGGGTGCTGCGCAAACCCAGAAAGGCTCTGAACTAGATTGGAGGGAGGGGTGAATGCCAAGCCGGGCTGGGGTTTTCCTACCCCCTCGCTGCACCCATGGGCTTGTAGCTACTTGCATGAGATTATAAACCTCTCATTAGTATACCACTGCAAAGCAAGAGTGTAATGATTCCAGCACAGCCATGCCAAAACTCATATTTTCTCAATAAATTAAACCCTTCCCTTGGTTACTACTCGGTTAAATCAGCAGGGCCCTCAAACATTTATTTATTTGCCATTTCTGCTTTTGCCCTTTAAGGGTTATGGCTTTGCTGCTTGAAATAGGCTCTTGGATTTGTCCCCCACCCCTCAAAAAAACCCAGGCTGTCATCTTTTATCTACTGAGGCCGTGTTTAAAAGTTTTGTGGCCTCCTCCCAATCTAGCCCTAGAAAAAGGGGGAGTGTTGTGTTACCCTGACACCTATTTGTGACCCCCTAACCCAACTCCCCATTGTAAAACCCAGGCTGAAAAGCCCTGCTTTTGGCCCCGTGTTTGGTTTTGGTGGCAAATGCTTTGAAGAATGGTCACACTTAAATGACTGCTTTAATTTATTTTCATGCTAATAGGGTTATCTTTGTTAAAGTTATTTCTAAACGATCTCCTGCTCTGAGCTTATATTTGGGGGCTAAAGTGCCAGCTTTAAACGGCTCCAAAATATAGGAGATTAGGCACATCAGGGTCGACTAGGAGAATAGTTTGTATCTGTTTTTTTTATTTGTACTGCTGAAGTATCTAGGAGCGCAGTCATGAACCAGGCTGCACTGAACTAGGCCCTGCAGAAACACAGAACAAAAAGAGCTTCCCAGCCTAGAGAGCTGGCAGTCAAAGTCCAAAAGACAAGAAGACTGGGGAGCGCAGAGACCCGATATAACAGTGCTGGCCAGCACGATCAGTGGTAGTTTCCGCAGCCTGGCTCTTGTCAATTTTTTGTAGGGATATGGCAAAGGGGATTTTTCAGGAGGGATTTGAAAGAGCAGAATGAGGTCGCTTTGGTGACGTTTACAGGGAGCGCCTCCCATGAGGGAGGGCCAAATGGATAGGGATACACAGAGACAGAGGCACAATTCACAAAAACAAAATAACAAAACCCAGTTGCTCCACCGTCCCCAAATATTACGCTGCTGTCCCAATCCTGTCGGGGTACTAGGTTGCTGACTTCCACGCATGCTAGTGCTACCTGCTGGCTGTCAGCGTGTGAGGCAGTTTGACCGTGCCAAGGTGGGTAAGCGAGTAATTTTTATTGAACCAGCCTCTGTGGGTGAAAGAGAGAAGCTTTCGCGCTCCACAGAGATCTTCCTCTGGTCTGGGAAACCAGCTAACGAACTGAGTGGGTCACAAGGGAACAAATTGTATAGCATCAGTGGTTAACGCATTTCAAGGGACCGTATAAGTCACTAACCAGTGAATTGTAGGGCATACCGTCGTTTAATGACACTTTGTATTTGGACAGAGGCATGGTATGATTTGCTTCAAGTGCATTGCTCTTCACACACCATTCTGTGTGCGTTTGTTTATCGCTTTGTGTGGTTTCAGGGCTAATGTAGTGGATGAATATGACTTTGGGGAAAATACAGGGGAATGGGTTAGAGTTTGGTGCCTGAAAGATCTGCTTAGTTTTCCAATCCCTGTAGAATTATACCCATTTGAGAATAATGAGGTATGTGGTCAGTTTTAAATCTTCTCTCTGGTGGCTTAGACATGGATGGACACACACAACTGCCTCCACACCCAGTTATCCTCCACTCTGGGTCTTGTGGAGTCCTGTTGCTGCTTTCTTTGAGATTCTGGCTGTTAAACTGCCCTGTGGGTTTTGTTCACAGCTCCTCGCCTGGCCCGGGTTGGGATATTGCTTTTGCGGTAAGTAGCTCCTGGTTGCTTGAGCAGCCGCAGAGATGAAACTTACGTGCATGGGGGGAGAGGGGCGCGATGGATTTAATTATTTTGCTGCTTGAAGCCCTCTACCTGCCATTCTCATACTTCCTGCCAACCCTCTGTCGCTACAGCCCTCTCCCTTCTCTGTATTTCTCCTCAAGTGTGAGTGAGTGGCACAGCTCTGTACGAACAGCAGCGACTGAGGCACAGAGACAGTAAAGCCACGTTCTTAACGGACATTCAGGGAAACAAGCCTGACTTGTCTGATTGTGGTAGGGTTGCTGGAAAATGTTGCCCTGCAGTTAGATGACAGCCCTGGAAGTCAGGGCCCTGTGTCCATTCTCACTCCGCCATGGGCGTTGGGTCATTTCTCCTTTTGTCCATTTACCTGTCTGCCTGGCGCGTTATGCTTCCTGGGGCTGAGCGAGTATCTGTAAGGCAGTGAGGTCTAGGATGGGAAGGACAGTGTTGCTGCCGCACCATGATACTCGGCTGTATTGATTTTTACAGGCCCAGTGCCGGGGCTTCCATTCATGCGCAGTCGCTCCATCAGACGCCAGCGACCGATCATGCTGACAGGTAACCCGGCGCTGCCAGCTGCGTTCTTTAGCTGAGTGGGAGATGGCAGGTGATACACGAAAGGGAGGTTCGTCTGTGGCAGCACATTGCAGTGTATGGACGAAGGAGGCCTGGTTTCTCTCTCTTCCCTTAGCCGGCAGTATTACCTGGCGAGGCGCAGTGTCCTAGAGATGAGCCTGCTGAGTAACCTGAGTGTAATGAAGATCCCAGGGACGTTTCCCTGCCTGGATAGCAGTTTCCATGATATTTGGACTTCTCCCCCTTGTGGAGAGTCTGCTCGTCCGAATAGCATAGAACTCCCTTGGCACTTGGCCGGCTGGGCTCTTCTTAATGGTTAGAACTCTCCAAAACAAAGCTCCATGCCAGTGACGCAAAACCCTCCCCGTCGTGGGTGACAGGAGAGATCACGTGAGGATTACCCATTGTGATCCCTCCCTCTGGGGCCGCTGTCGGCAGACAGGACACTGGGCTAGATGGACCTTTGGACTGACCCCGTCTGACCGTTCTTATGTCAGCCTCCTGCCTCTCGAGGCAGCTGAGTGATACTTACCAATGTTCTGTGTTTGTGCTACTTTCCCTAAGCCCCTGGACTCCTGGTCTTTAATTTGGGGGTGACCTCTGAGGCTTGAGATTTCCTGTGGCTTTTAAACTGGTTTTAATTTGGGGGTGACCTCTGAGGCTTGTGAAACCGTGGGGGAAAGGGGGGAGGGACAGCTGTGGTATCTGAGCCAGGCATAGTAAGTCCTTTCCCATCCTTCCTTCTGCCCGAGCCAGCAGTATCCCTTGCTCTACCAGGCTGCCTGGATCCCATGCACAGGTCTGCCGGTGCATCCCTGCCCGAACAGTGCCGGTCCCTGCCTTTCCAGCCGTGCCCAGACAGGCTGAGATTTCCTGTGGCTTTTAAACCGGTTTGTCCCAGGGATATAAAATCCCGTTTTATTGGTTAACTGGTTCAGAGCGCCACCCCCCCCCTTCCTGCCCGTTGCAGGTGAGCTGGAGTGACCCCCACCGCTGCCACAGACAAGGGCTGCTCCAGCCGGCCAGCTCGAGCAGCCCCCTGCCTGCAGTGGGATGCAGCAGCCCCTGCCTGGGGCAAGCAGGGAGCTGCTCCAGGCCCTAGTAGTTAATTGGAACTGGTAATCCTCACTCATTAAGGGTGAGGTTAACTGGATAACCATTCACACCCTAGTTGGTCCAGAGGTGACCGCTGAGCCTACCCTCACCCTGATGTGCCGTATTCAGCAGCAGCCACTGGTGTTGAATTGACTCTGAGCAGCTTATTCCAGCCTCTCGGGGGGATCGAGTGTCCTCAAAGCTGGGAAACCTTAATCCGCGACTCTCTTGCTAACGGGAGAGAGCGTAAGCTGGCGTTGTCCGTGCTGTCTGTCCACAGCGCATCCCAGGTCCAGCAAAAGAAGCCGGCCACAGTCCAGAAAACCCCCCTCGTCCCCACCAGCCGGGGAGAGTACGTTGTCACCAAGCTCGATGACCTGATCAACTGGGTGCGGCGGGTGAGTGGTCGGGAGGCCCTTGGCCTGTGAACGGGAACGGGTGACTACGGCTCTGGAGTGCTCGCGGGAGGCGGATGGGACAGAGCGGAGGTCACCTTGGAAACATGCGCTGCCCTGCAATGAAATAGGCCAAGTTCCTGCGCTGGAGCCGGGGGGGAGGAGGAGGGGTTGGGCTTCAGAGAGAGGCCCGGCGGGTTTATCCGAGGGCGCTTGAAACTTCCGAGTGTTCCCATGTTCCTCTGTGGTTCCCCTCCTGCCCTGTGTGGTCCAGCGACTGTGGCTCTTTATCCATATCCCAGCTATGCCGGCTTGGTTGCCAGCAGGGCTCTTCGGGCGACTCCTTACGCTGAGGTGTCCCTGCTCTGAGGAGTAAGGCTTTGTCCAGCCAAGACTGCGTTGCTCCCTTCTCCCGGGTCCTTGGGCACTGGCACCTGCCGCTCTGCCCCAGAAGTGGCTGCATTTCAGTGGTGCTGAGGGTACAGCTTGGGCAGGCTGAGCACCCTGAGTTTGGAAGGATGCGTGTGTAGGCCTTGGAGCAGAGGCCTTGCCTTTCCCTTTGTATGTAAACCCCGCCGCCATCTCTCCCGCTACATGCATAATACACCACGCCCCTTTCCCCCGCAGACCCGCATCCCTTGAAATGCGCCGCGCAGCCTGTGCCAGCTCAGTGCCTTTCTGAGCGTTGTTCACTCAGCTCTCTTCCATCTCAGAGCTCCCTGTGGCCGATGACTTTTGGGCTGGCGTGCTGCGCCGTGGAGATGATGCACATGGCGGCGCCTCGCTACGACATGGACCGTTTCGGGGTGGTATTCCGGGCCAGCCCTCGGCAGGCAGACGTCATGATCGTGGCCGGCACCCTGACCAACAAAATGGCCCCCGCCCTTCGAAAGGTATGTCGGGCACCTTGGCACGGGCAGCTTCGTCACTGGGGTGCCAAAGGCCTTCACTGGGAAATCTCTCTCTCCGCCAGGTGTACGAGCAGATGCCTGAACCACGCTACGTGATCTCCATGGGAAGGTAAACTCCAGAGACTTCCCTAGCATCTGACAACTGGCCGGTAGGAAATCTCTTGCCGTTGTCTGTGAACGAAGGGCCCGTTTTGCGCTGAGGTGCTGCGTCGAGACGCCGCACCGTGAATGCAGAAGACTCGAGGCTCTCTCTTGAGGGCCAGGGAACGGTAGAACGTCTCTTCGGCGTAGGGCTCCTCTCTGGGAGTCAGAACTCCAAACGGGGAGCTTTATTTTTACAAGGGAGGGGAGGAGCCACCCGATTCTCGGGAAAAAGTGTCCCGCTAGTGTCGCTAATATGTCACTAGCGAAACATGAGCCCGTTCCACCTTCTGCAGAGCCTGAGCGGTGGATCGGAGCTGGCTCTGCCAGTGCAAATAACCACAGTGAGGAGGACACAGCGATGTCCCCGCCTGTCAGAGAAACCAGGGGTGCAGCATCCCAGGCTCGTCGGGAGGCAGATGCTGGGCTAATGCTGTTAGTTAGGCCACGCTTGGGGTAACTGCTCATGGGACTACTCTGTGCTGCAGCTTTGCTGCTCCAGGACCCCAGCAGGGCCGGCCCACAACATTTGGCACCTGAGGCAGGGAGCTCAATTGATGCTCCCGAGTGGCCTGTCGGATGACACTGAACCCTTCCTCTCTCCTGCAGCTGTGCGAATGGCGGCGGATACTACCACTACTCCTACTCCGTGGTGAGGGGCTGCGACCGCATCGTGCCAGTGGACATCTACGTGCCAGGTAAAAAGCAACTCTCCTCGCCCCCGTAGGGTCCCGGAACGCGCCTCAAGCTGGAGCAACCCTTGGCCTAGGATTCTAATCCCTTATGACGCCTGTCCAGTGTGTAGCTGTTTAAGGCCCCTTTGTTTAAGTTTGAAGCTGCCCCACTTAAATGTTCAGGCTTTCGTTACATTGTGCTCCCACAATGACTTGGAAGGGAAATCAAACCCTTGCAGCTTCTCTACAGGCAATTGCAGCCAGTCCAGTCTTTGCAGGGCACAGGGGTATGCCTTGGTCCCCAAGGAAGGCTTTTTCTGTGTCCAGATACCAAGTTATTTAGCAGAAGCAGTTCTGAAATTCATCCAACTTTTCCCAGTGCCTCTCAGTTCTAATGTCTTAGGCCAGGCCTACACTAAAAGGGAAGGTCAAATCAAGATACACAACTCCAGCTCCGTTAATTCCGCAGCTGGAGTCAGCGTACTTTGATTTGAGTTTCCCCTCAGCGGGAGGTCGACGGGAGAAAACGCTGCTATTGGCTTCCCTTACTCCTCACAAGGAGCAGGAGAGTACCGGCTCCTGATGGGGGTGCCCTCTGAGTTCGATTTAGTGGGTCTTAACTAGATTTGCTAAATTGAACGCCAGAAGATTGATCGAAGACATGGCCTTAAAAATACAGGCCTGTCGTCTGTGATGGCTGCTTTTTTTAATGCAGGAGAAAAACGCATGCCCCATTTCTAATTTAACTGTGAGGGCAGTGATGCCCTGGAGCAAACCAGCGCCGTACATCTTCAGAACAAGGCCAGCAGCCTTTCTGGGAGAGATGTTCTCATCAGACACCCCTTACTGGGTTCAGTGCAGGGGTAACTGCCGGCAATTCGCCTACATGATCTCATGGGTCCCTTCACGCCTTAAAACATATTTATTTATGCAGCCTCTGTCTGAGTGGCTCTGCTGCATGTCAGCAACAGCACTGGTGTCTTTAGCCCACCCAGCACAGCTGGCCAGCTGTTCGTTACGTGCGCTAAGGGAGCCCTAGACTGCGCCCAGTTCTTATACTCCATCTCTGTCCCTCAGGCTGCCCGCCCACCGCGGAAGCGTTGCTGTACGGGGTCCTGCAGCTGCAGAAGAAAATCAAGCGGGAGAAGAGAATTCAAATCTGGTACAGGAAATAGCCTCCCTTATTTATGAGCTAGATATTCGCTATTCACTGACAGAGCAATGTATTTGTATCCCCACGCACACGCAATAAAACATGATCCGTTTCATGTGCTCTCTTGGCTTTACCTATTTAAACCCGGGGAGTGAGGGGGGGGCTGGGGACACTTTGTATTTAGCGTGTCACACCCCCTTGCAACTCACCCAATCTGCTGCCTTCCAGGGATTCTGTGCACCCCCATTAGACCCGATAGGATTCCAAGGACTCTGTTTCTGGGGTTGAACGGTTCATGTGGAGGGGAGAGCATGCCCGCTAGATTATCTGCTGTCGCAAAACAAGTATCTTCTGCCGTCTCCCTCTCTGGCAGGCTCTGGATTTTGACCCATTGGTTGCAGTGGGAATTGCAGGTTCTGGAAATTGGACCCTGTTACATAGTGATGATTTTTGGGTAAAACAGAGTTAACTGCAAGCAGGCAAACAAATCAGTGCAAACCAGTTTCTTACCCTGGAGAAGTGGAGGCAGAGACACGGGTGAGTTTCAAATGTGTCACTGAGTCCTGGCTTGATTTCAGCTGGGGGAAGCCCCTCTAAACTCCCGCCTCTTGGACAAGAACAAGATTCAGTTTGCAGAGATGAGATTGCTGCGGGGCGCTTTACCCCTCCGTGCAGATCAGGACTGAGACGTGTCCCCAGCTTTGCCACAAACGGGGTGGTTCATAAGTTAACCCTGAGCCTGTTCTAAACCCACCTCCCAGCGGCCTCCTCTCTATTTCTGTGTATGCGAAATTCGGAGCTTGCGTTGTAGTCAGCAAGTGCACAGAAGCTGACACAGTGCGGCGTAGTGGGGCGGGGGGTCTGCTCTGTAACCTGGGGTTCCCTGCGCTGTGATGTGAGATTCCCACTGACTCACCCTCATGTGGATTGGCCCAGACACCTAGGCCCAGCCTGAGCAGATAACGAGGCTCTTCCCAGGGGGAGAGACGAAGGAAGGGAGGCGGAGACGGCCACCTGGCTGGGGGGCAGGGACTGGGAGCTGGGCAGTTTTTGGCTGGGATGACATGAAGAGAAGAGACTAAGCTGAGTACTGGGGGTTGAGGGGCCTGTGGTCCCCCACCCCAAGGGGTCTAAGGCTGCCCGCCCCTGACTCCTGTAACCACATCACGTCTGTGCTGTGCTGTATCCTGGAGAAACAATAAATCCCTCTTTATTCTACTGGCTGGCGGAGTCTGTTCTTGCTGCTGCAGGATCAGGGGAACCCCGACTCACCGTCACACCCACCCCTGTTCTAGACCTACCCTTGCCACCCTACATCTCTTCTGCCTTGGCGGTTTACACCTTTCCTGTCTGAGAGCTGAACGTCAGTGGTCACGTCGGCCAACTTGTTAACTCCTGCCCCTTTGATCATCTTTGCTGCTAAGTTCATCCCTCCGGCCTTCAGATTGGTTTTGTGGCTTTTCTCTGAACAGCCAGCTCGTCCTGATACTCATGCCCGGAACGGCATCCCAGATGCTGCAGCACCAGAGCTATACAAAGGCTTTACCTCCCCGTCTTGTAGCTATGCCACCGGGGGGCACTCGGCACTTCTCATGCCTGGCGGTGTCCGTGTTACCTCTTGTCTCAGATTGGAAGCGCAGTGGGGCAGGGACTCTCTTTGCTGTGTGTTTGTGCAGCCCCTAACGCAGTGGGGTCTTGCTCTGTGGGGGGGCTCATAGGCATCCCTGTAACATGCAGGGTTTAGAAGTCTGCATTTATACCCCAGCTTCATTTAGAACCCTGCCCAGTGATTTTATTAAAAGGCCGAAGCCTCTGAAAACGGGACAGGAGCAGAAAGCATCGAGCCAGCTCACACCGCCTACCATCAGGCCCATGGGAGCTGCTGAGGTGTAAATCGATCAGTTGGCTACGCGCACGCCAAGCCATTGGTCAGGAGGAGCAGAGCGCCATTGCAGGGGGATAGAATGGGCATGGAAATAAATTATTGGGACGCCTCGGCTGTAGGTTTCAGTCAATTTAATGTCTTTAGTGTTTGCATTAATAGCAAGTCCACCGCATCAGTGTAGATTCATGTGCTGGTAAACTTCCAGGAAAGTCATAAGAATTCATTAGTAAAATCTTAAGAACAGGCTCTTAGCCCTAAAGGTGAGCAGAGATTCCCCTGGGCGTTATCTGAATCTTATTTAATTACACAAATACAAATGTCCGGCGTCCAGAATTAAACTGGGTTGGAGCGAACTTTACGCAGCTTGGCGTGGAGGGTGTTGATTTGGCCTCTGACAAGGCCACTGTTCCACAGGCAACCTCTGGATTTGGAAATCCCTCGGTCAAGTTACCGGCAGCTCCCTCCTGAATTTTACTTGAAGCGACCGTAAAAATAATCTTAAAAATGAAGGTGAAATGCGTCAGATCGCCGCATAGGCCATCTCACAAGGGATCTGCCCTTGGGGCAGGCTTCTTGAACCAAATAGCAGCCTCTTACAGCCATTGATCTCAAAGTATTGGGAGGGTGGGGGCAGGAATGGGATAATTTATGCATTGTAGATGGGGGGAAGTGAGGCACGGAGGGGCAGTGACTTGCTTATAGGCACGGAGGGGTAGTGACTTGCTTATAGGCACCAGCAGCTCCGTGACAGAGCTGGAAATAGAAGGCAGGAGTCCTGAATTCTAGTACTATACTACAGACCCTCGTTCTAACTTGTCAGCTATACTTCCCCACCACCACCAAAAAAAAAGTCAAATCGATATGTTAATCTTCCCTCCTTAGTACCAACCGCGCGACGAATATTCCCTCCCCTCCCTGGATTGTAAAGTCAGTCCTTGATGGAGTTTTCCCTCCTGCGGGCCGGATTTCTTCTCTCTCTGGCGCAGCAGCGGAGCCGGCGGGCGCGGGGGCGGCGGCTCACTCTTTGAGGATGGTGGGCGTGATCATCTTGTGGAAGGAGTAGTAGCGGCAGTCCTCCTTAGTACCAACCGCGCGACGAATATTCCCTCCCCTCCCTGGATTGTAAAGTCAGTCCTTGATGGAGTTTTCCCTCCTGCGGGCCGGATTTCTTCTCTCTCTGGCGCAGCAGCGGAGCCGGCGGGCGCGGGGGCGGCGGCTCACTCTTTGAGGATGGTGGGCGTGATCATCTTGTGGAAGGAGTAGTAGCGGCAGTCCTCGGGCGGGATCAGATCCATCACGCTGGTGCTTATGTTCTCCTTCTTGAACCCGGCCTCCATCAGGCGCGGGACTTGAGTCTCCTAAGGTGGGGGAGGGTAATAGAGCGGTGAGGCCTGAACACCCGGTCCATCCCGCCGTGACCCTCGATCAACACGACGCCAGCCCTCCGCGTAACCAGTCTGGTTAAGCTAAAATGACTCTGCCCAGCCACTAAGGTGGCGGCAGCTTTAGAACTGGCCTGGAAAAACACCCATGGACCTCGCGGTGTTGCTGAAGTCAGGCCTGCTAGTGGGGGGGTAAAGGGGGCAACTGCCCCATAGCCCGGAAATTCAAAAGGGCCTGGAGCTCCCGGCCACTGCTACTGGCGCCCCAGGCCCTTTAAGTCTCCACCGGAGCCCTGCGTGGCGCACTCCTGGTGGGGCTGAGGGCTGCCTGGGGGAAGCTCGCTCCAGCCCCGCCCTTTCTGCCCGAGGCCCTGCTCCTCCTGGAGGGGCAGAGCTGTTCCTCTGCCTTGCCCATGGGCCCAGTGACTGTCGGCCCCACTAGCTGAAGTACGCCCTTAATTGGGTCCGGCCGAGCACTGATCCTGCCCGCATTACCCCTGCCTGCTAGCTAGCCCGGCCGTCCAGCCTGCTGGTAGGTGGCTCTGCACCGGGCCCACAGACTCCTCTCTGTATCTGCAAAGCGAATGGCAGGCGCAAAGCTGCGGAGCAGGGACTGCCCCTGCGGCCACGTTTCCCGGGGGCTTTCCGGGCCTCGGCCCCGCCTCACCTCAAACATCGTCTCGATGTCCGTGTACGTGGTCTTGAGCAGCTCCCCCCAGGAGGTCAGGTTGCAGTAAGTGAGCACACCCCCGGCTTTCAGCAAGCGGAAAGCATGGCCCTGCGGGAGAGGGAGAAAAACGGGAGGCCAAAGGGATTTAGGAGCTTCCCAAACACCCTGCGCCTCTCGGCCCCTCTCTGGGGCAGGAGCCTTCCCTCTGTAGTAGCGGGTCGCCAACCTGGTAATATCCCCAAACCGGACACTGCAGGAGTGTCACACCCTGCCCCGCCTCTTCCCCCAAACCCCCACCTCTGTCCTACCTCTCTCCCTGGGGCCTGCCCCAGCCACGCCGCTCCTCCCCCATCACTCGCTGCTTTTCCCCTCCCCGTGCGGAGGGGCTGGGAGCTGCGGCTGCCGGGGGCAGGCAGGAGGTGGCCCCAGCTGAGCGAGTGAACGACAAGCCTTTGGGAGTTCGGTCAGTAGATCCGACTGGCCGCCGTCAGGTCCCCTTTTCGGCTGGACTGTCCAGGCACCTGGCCCTGCTAAGGCCGGGGCTGCCGCCTGGAACAACCTCTCCCAAGTCTCCC